AAATATATATATATATATATATATATATATATGATAAATAGCATTTTTATGCTATCAAAATTTTTTGATGCACTGAAATTTCAAAATTCTTGTTACCAATTTCAATATCACAAAAAAAAATACTAGCTCAAGTAAAACCAAGCTTACTGAACAAGTTAACAGTCACAAATTATAATAGCACAAAGGTACATACGAAATCAACCTACTTGAAAAACTTAAAAAAAAATGAATAAGAAATATTATATTGTATAAAGTAAATGTACAAATAGTCTTCACTGTATAAATTCATTATACATTAATTCTTACTTCTTTTACAAAAGTGATTCAGTCAAGGACAGTGAGTGATTTTCTTTCTGATGTTTGATTTACATTATTAACACAAATGGCAACAGCAGCTAATTTTCTTTCTAATGTTTGATTTACATTATTTACACAAATGGCAACAGCAGCTATATTAGGCTGCTTTAGAGGAATAGTTCACCCAAAAATGAAAATGCTGTTGTTGTTCTAAACCTGTATGCGTTTCCCTCTGCTGTTGAACGCAAAATAATATATTTGGAACAATACTGGTAACCAAAAAAAACAACAAAAAAAACAGAAACTTTCTGGTTATGAACATTTTTCAAAATATCTTCTGTTTTGTTGATGAGAACAAATAAATTCATACAGGTTTAGAACAACTTGAGGCTGAGCTTCTGCTCTATTTTTGGGTGAAGATCATTTTAACTATTAACGTTCATGTAAGACTCAACTGACTGTGTTGACGAGGATACTCGCAAAGACTGGCATTTTGACACATAACTATGCGTATTTGAACGTTTAAGCACAAGGTGCGAAAAAGAACTCCAGTTTAGTCAGGCGCTGTACGAGCAGGTGCGCATTTACCAACAAGAATTCTTTATTCTTAATGTCCATGAATAGTTTAAAACCATTTGTTTTCAAACCACAAATTTCAAACTTACATCATGACGCACAAAACGATTGACATTTTTCTACCGGGTTATTTCCCAACCCTTAAGCGAATATATAGAGTTTGTTCAAACACAAAAAGCCAAATACATCCATCAAGTTAATAATCAAACTAACCTAAAATCTGTGTGGACGATGGCACTGTTTTTATCTGCTCCATGTGCCCGGTCCACTTGCTGTTTCACAACTTCTACTCCATCATCATCTTTAGTAAAATAACCTGATAGCTGGGGATTTTACTGACTATATTTTATCTGCTGTTTGTCTTTTACGTTTTGTTTTTTTTTTAGCCCCTCTCTCACATTTTTTGGAATAGCTGACATTTTTACTTATCGAAGATTGTTCTTTGCGTGACCATTTCCAGATTATGCCAGAACGAAGTGAAGAGTGGAGGTGAATGCGGACATCAGGCGCAGCGATCACCTGATAGATACGCGTACAGTTCGTTCAAAAGTCAAATACAGAATAAATGCATTTGATTAGTAAACCAAATTCAAACGTGACATTTCAATATCTAATGGTAATAATTTACGGCAAAGTTCCACTAAATAATAGCGCTAATAAGTGGGGTGTGGCGGGGCTTTGGCGATTGGTGCTTCAGTCAATCTACTCCACAGCCAATCATGGGCCCCCTCGTTGCTCGGGCCCCGGGGCTTCAGCCCCACCTAGCCCTACTGTTAATCCGGCCCTGGGTGTCAGTGATTTCCTGTTTGTGTGCCATAACCTCCTGAGAGCCAGAAAAAAAGCTTTGTGTATTTAGTATTTTTTCATGTCATTACATTGTTTAGAGCACAAGAAATTTTTTTGAAAAATGACATTTTATTCATATGTTATGCTATGTCCTCTGTAGAGGACACCAGGACTACGTTTTTCTAAAAATAAAATGACATGAATAGACATGAAAAGGCAAAAACTATGGGATTTTTTTTTTTTTAATTACCGATCAATTTTTATGTTTCAGGGTTTTTTTATACCAAACTTTGTATAAGGATGATTCTCAACTTTGTTTGATTTGATACCGTTTTGCTTTATGGAATATGTGTGTAAAAATTTCATAAACTGGTTTTCCCATTAAACACAATGTTATCTATACACTGTATCTAATTTGCATATTAATGTGCTGTTGGGACAGCTTGTTGACAAAAGAAGTGTAATAATGGGAGTAGTAATTGGCCAGATTTTCATAATAATATCTTATATTTCATAAGAGTATTGATATATAATTTGTTTTACTATTCAATTGTTTTGTCTCCCAAAATTCATAATAAACATGCTTTTAGTCCTGGTGTCCTCTACAGTGGACATGTATGAAATGATTCTCCTGTTTCATAAGTGGACGATGGCACTGTTTTTATCTGCTCCATGTGCCCGGTCCACTTGCTGTTTCACAACTTCTACTCCATCATCATCTTTAGTAAAATAACCTGATAGCTGGGGATTTTACTGACTATATTTTATCTGCTGTTTGTCTTTTACGTTTTGTTTTTTTTTTAGCCCCTCTCTCACATTTTTTGGAATAGCTGACATTTTTACTTATCGAAGATTGTTCTTTGCGTGACCATTTCCAGATTATGCCAGAACGAAGTGAAGAGTGGAGGTGAATGCGGACATCAGGCGCAGCGATCACCTGATAGATACGCGTACAGTTCGTTCAAAAGTCAAATACAGAATAAATGCATTTGATTAGTAAACCAAATTCAAACGTGACATTTCAATATCTAATGGTAATAATTTACGGCAAAGTTCCACTAAATAATAGCGCTAATAAGTGGGGTGTGGCGGGGCTTTGGCGATTGGTGCTTCAGTCAATCTACTCCACAGCCAATCATGGGCCCCCTCGTTGCTCGGGCCCCGGGGCTTCAGCCCCACCTAGCCCTACTGTTAATCCGGCCCTGGGTGTCAGTGATTTCCTGTTTGTGTGCCATAACCTCCTGAGAGCCAGAAAAAAAGCTTTGTGTATTTAGTATTTTTTCATGTCATTACATTGTTTAGAGCATAAGAAATTTTTTTGAAAAATGACATTTTATTCATATGTTATGCTATGTCCTCTGTAGAGGACACCAGGACTACGTTTTTCTAAAAATAAAATGACATGAATAGACATGAAAAGGCAAAAACTATGGGATTTTTTTTTTTTTAATTACCGATCAATTTTTATGTTTCAGGGTTTTTTTATACCAAACTTTGTATAAGGATGATTCTCAACTTTGTTTGATTTGATACCGTTTTGCTTTATGGAATATGTGTGTAAAAATTTCATAAACTGGTTTTCCCATTAAACACAATGTTATCTATACACTGTATCTAATTTGCATATTAATGTGCTGTTGGGACAGCATGTTGACAAAAGAAGTGTAATAATGGGAGTAGTAATTGGCCAGATTTTCATAATAATATCTTATATTTCATAAGAGTATTGATATATAATTTGTTTTACTATTCAATTGTTTTGTCTCCCAAAATTCATAATAAACATGCTTTTAGTCCTGGTGTCCTCTACAGTGGACATGTATGAAATGATGCCCTGTTTCATAACAGGAAGTCATATTTTGATTTGAAACCCCATAATATTTTCATGAGATGTTGATTTATGACAAACAATTTGAAAATTAATCAGATTTAAATTATAATGACAAAATATTATCATATTTCCACAAGGATGTACAATTTTATCACTAAATTAATGTCAGCCATCTTTAAAGACCAAAGAGAGGGAGTGGTCATGGTGAAACATCCAAACATTTGGTATCTCTAAAAAGCCCCGAATGTGCTCTGTACAGGACATCCAGACTTAAAACTGTGACATTTAAGATCTAAGAGAAATTCACTAAAATATCATGTCCACTACAGAGGCAAAAACTCCATAGCTGGGTCTCAGTGTCAGACTCTGTTCCTTGTTTTGTGTGTGTTTTGCTCCCCATGTGCCTTCCTTGCCCTTATTTGGTCTTTCCTGTTCCTGTCCTCATTTAGTTCTATTTGTTCCAGGTGTTCCTTATTATTAGTTATCCTCCTCACCTGTCTGCCCCTCGTTATCAGCCCTATTTTAGTTCTAGCCCGTTCTGCTCTCCCTTGTCCGGAATTGTGAATGTCTGTACATGTCTACCCTTGCTATGTGTGTTTTCCTTGGTCCCTGGATGTTATTAAAATCTATACGTTTGAATTCCACTCCTTGTCTCCTCGCTCCTCCGTCTCCGTGCTCCTCACAGTAGCGAACTGTGACACTCAGGTGGATAAATAATTATAACTCTTTCATCGCTTATTTTTAATAATTTACTAATAATAACTTACTTTTATGGTATCCAAAATACATTAGAATTATATTTTAATACGACTCATAAAATAGCGCTACTTCCTGATAGATATATCACTGAAACACGTGTGTTGAGAAATCACACACACACAACTAAAATCTGTAAACAGCAAACGAAAAAAAGAAAAAATGACTGTGCCTGCGCATGCTGTGTCAATCATTTTGCATGCTATGTTGCTGACATGTCTGTGGAGGCGGGGCTTTGGAGAGACGAGTTGTGGTAAAAAATGGGATGCTGTACTAATAATAATAATAATATACTACTAATTCCAGAGGTGGACTGTAGTTAAGTATTTTTACTCTGCTTTAAAATTACATTTTTCAAGTGTCTGTACTTTATCAGAGTGTTTTTTTTTTTTTTAGAAAACTTTCACTTCACAACATTCCAAAGCATAATATTGTACTTTTTACTGCACTATTATGCATATGACCCCTTTAAAGGCAAAAAAAACAACAACTTTTATTTATGAAATGTAGTGCAGTTAATAGTACGACATTATGCTGTGGAATGTAGTAAAGTAAAAGTTTTCCAAAGAAAAACTGATAAACTACAGATACTTTTTAAATTTACTTGAGTAAAGTAAAAATACTTCACTAATCACTACTGTGCACCTATGACCAATTCAAAGTTTATTTTTAAGTACACAGTACTTTTATTTTGCATGTGTATTAAACTTTATACTACTACAAATATTCCAATGACTCCCCCCATCATTGTATGATGCAGCTCTCTGACTGGTGGATGCAGTCGGCCTACCTGGACTCTCGAATGCCTGTGGCAATGTACACAAGCCCAGGGGTCGTTTTACCCAAAATGCACTTCCAAGACCGTCAGGGACAAATGAGGTGGGTGACAATGGTTACTTTTATTTTGGGCAATGAGACGTCACTGAGTAAATTTAAGTATTGAAGACAATGTGTGTGTGTGTGTGTGTGTGAAATATGTAACTATTTAAAACACATTTTAACTATTTAAAACACATTTTAAATACACTACAGTTGTAGAATACACTACCAAAAGTTTGGGGTCAGTAAGGTAAAAGAATCAATTAATACTTTAAATCACCAAGGATGCATTAAACTGATCAGTGATAGTAAAGAATTTTACGTTGTACCATAAAATGTAAATGTCAAATAAATGCTGTTCCTTTGAACCTTTTATTCATCACAAAATCCTGATAAAAATGTATCAGTTTCTACAAAAAATATTAAGCAGCACGACTGTTTTTAATGTTGATAAAAATAAGAAATGTTTCTTGAGCAGCAAATCAGCATATTAGAATGATTTCTGAAGGATCGTGTGACTCTGAAGACTTGAGTAATGATACTGAAAATTCAGCTTTGCATCACAGGTGTAAATTAAAACGTAATATATATAATAGAAAATAGTTATTTTAATATTGCTCTTTTTTCAATTTTTTTCTTCAAATAACAGCAGTCTTGCTGAGCATAAGAGTATGGAAGCTTGTTTCCGTCATGGAATAAAAATAAAAAAAAATCAATAAAAAAGGTGTTTGCATCAGCGCCGATAGCCTTGATGCCTCTGTGGCATCCTGAGTTTGAATCCTGACTCGAGGATCTTTCCCAATCTCACCCCCTATCTCTCTCCCACTTTGCTTCCTGTCAATTCTCATCTATCCTATTATAATAAAGGTGAAAATGGCAAAAATAAATCTTTAAAAAAAAAAAGGTGTTTGCGGGAAAAAAAAAAAGAATTGCGAGATATGAAGTAAGAATTGCAAGATATAGACTTTTTTTCTCAGAATTCTGATTTTGCATAAAGTCCATAATTGTGAGATAAAAAGTCGCAATTACAGTGGTGGAAACAAACATAATCTTATTGATCCCAAACTTTTAAACAACATTGTAATTTAATTATTTATCAAATACTTGAGTCCAAAGTGACTAATAGTACACTTAATACAAGGACAGTGCCACTTGATAGGCATTAGGCATGGGTTTAAGCGTCATTGCTCAAGAGCAAAGTGGTGATAGTTCATGATCGTTCCAGATTCAAACCCCTTGATGGTCATCAGCCCAGAGCATGACTACACATATACACTGCCTGGCCAAAAAGAAAAAGAAGGTTGCCATTTGGATTTAAATAAGCAAATATTGAAGCGTTTATGATTGGATCATTATTGCAGTGAGATGTTACAGGCATGTTATATGTTTTGCGACAATTCTTTTAACCCTAACTGATGCAGTGCATAGCTTTTCATTTTGTAAACAACCATGTTGGAATGGGCACACATTGTCCATATTCCAGGATGACAATGCCAAGATTGGGTCCAAATTAAAAGAACTGTTTGCAAACATACAACATGCCAGAAACATATTAATCACTGCAATAATGATTCAATCCTAGAATCTTAAGTATTTGCTTAATTAAAATCCAGATTTTTTGGCAAGGTAGTGTATGTATGTGGCTATATTATTGAAAAGCAAAGAGTATTGAAATATTTCCAAACTCATTTTGGAGAAGTCTTCAGATTTGAGGGTTTTAAGTTTCACATCGACCTTTGCTTGGCTATTTTTGGCATATGTGCTACTCATGGCAGTGCACTGTTTTTTCAAAGGGATCTGCACTTCAGATTCAGCCCTGTTCCTTTTTTAGATTTGCCCTTATATCTGGACAGTCAACAACACCTATAGTGACATTTCATATCTAGGCAGATACACTAACAGTATGTTTACTACATAGGGTAGTATAAGGTTATAGAAAACCACCATGAGAGCATTACATGTGTTGTGTGGTGTTTGTATGTTTACATAACTTAAGGTGACCATACGTCCTCTTTTCCCCGGACATGTCCTCTTTTTGGACCTTAAAAAATGCGTCCGGCCGGGATTTCTTAATCGCCCAAAATGTCCGGGATTTGGCTGTTTTCTTAATGCCACTCCCGCTGAATCTCTGACCATTGCCGCCTGCTCTCACAACATGTGTTTCTCTCCCGCGATTTTGCATTTTGCATTCTACCTATGATAAAACTTTCATGGACTTTTACATTAACTGTAACCCCCCCCCCCCCACTGTCCTCTTTTTGGAAATCTACAATATGGTCACCCTACATAACTGCGTTGTTCTCTGCTACTTGATATCTATAGTCTGCCCTTTTTCAGCCACAGGTTAACAGTATTTTTAACGCTGACAGTCCTTAGTGGGAATGAAAACAGTGGTTATATAAAATGACTCATCGAGAAATCAGTCTTTTTGACCTGTGTGCCTATTTTTCCTACAGTGACATAATATGTTTTCATAGGCTGTTCTCTGAATCCCAGCATTCTCTGATTATAGGTTTGCTGCTAAACTTATTGCTGGGGTTTTGGATTTCAAAAGCATGATTGATAGGTGAGTGATTTTATTATTTTCTTAAGCAATTGTAAAGCGTACAGATGTATCAGCTTGTTTTAATGGATGTTCTTTACTGTGGCATAGTGAAACATTGCCTGTGGAATATCTGGGTGGCAAGCCTTTGTGCATGGACCAGTATTACCAGGTGCTGACTTCTTGTCGGATCCCTGGACCCAAGAGAGACGTCGTGATGAACTACGCTATTGGAAAGACCCCTCCTTCCCACATCACAGTGGTCCACAACTTTCAGGTGCTTCTTGTAAAAATATTTCACAATATTACTGTTTTACTGTATTATTTTTTTAGCATAAGAGACTTTCAAAAAATTACAAAAATCGTATGACTCCAAAACTTGTTTATATATTTTTGTACGAGTTTTGAGATTTGACCATTTATTCTGTTTTTAAATGATTGCTACAGTATTGTTTTGCAAAGCTATTTTCTATGAATGTGTAAGACGTCTAATTCATTAGCCGCTATAGGTAAATAACTAGAAGAATAGCAAAGAACAGTAAGCAGTAAAACTATTTGCACTATAAACTAGTAGGTTAGTAATTACAACAGTCCATTAAAATAATATAAGAAATACCAGTTTGCAATATCAAGCAGCATAACAAGCTGTTTTGTGGCTGCACCAGCTCTTAAAAATAAAGTGGATATATTTGAGCTTTGGGTTTGATGCTTTGGTATTTGCCAGTGACATTGAATTTGATTTTGTTAATAGGCGATACGCAGTAAGATCAAATTAAGAAAGTTGAATATATATAAATATTTGTTTCTCTCTGTATTCCTCAGTTCTTTGTTCTGGATGTGTACAACAGCGATGGTTCACCACTGACTGTAGATCAGATCTATGTTCAGCTGGAGAAGATCTGGAACTCTTCCCTTCAGACCAATAAAGAGCCGGTTGGCATCCTGACCTCCAACCACCGTAACACCTGGGGCAAGGCCTACAACAACCTTATCAAGGGTGAGTTGATTGAAAAATTGTATGCTGTGTTTTTGATCAATTATCAGACTAGGCAGAAGGGTCACATTTCGTAGGCCTTGTTCAGACTGATTCATTTGCTTATTTGTGTGTCCGATTGGAATCTGAGTTAAATGATTTCAAACCACATATGAATGTAACTTGAAATGGATTTGAATTCTGATTTCATGAGATTTTTTTTGACGCACACAGGGTAAATATGATAGGATTCCAATCGGATATGCACAAAAATTGGATTTTGACTGACAGTCTGAACAAGGCTTTATTGATTTTCTTTACAAAGACTTATTTAGTTATCAGAAAACATGTTTTTTTTTCATATGTACAATTCATATTATTAATTATCTTGTTAACTGTAAGCATCCTGCTAGCACTTGGCGCTCTTTTTTATTGTCTTTTTTCCCCCATCACATATTTTTAGTCATATTTTATCATTTGAAAGCTTTAACACTCTCAATTCATCCTCTGAAAACCGTTTTGAAATAGGACATTGCGTTATCATGAAAATGGTACTTGAAATACTTTTAGTAGGCTCCTCCACCTAGAAAGGAAAGGTCTGAGTCAAGGATTCATATTTGGTGAATATTTTGTGAGAGAAGTAATATTGTGACAGAAATTTATAAATTTGTGACAGGAAAATTCACCCAAAAAATTTGATTGATTTTGGGGGTCACCCAGTGGCTATTTTTGGTATATTGCCTAAACAGTATCTCAAAGGAACCTCAATTTTTGAGATATCAACTTCAAATTTGAAACATATGTTAGTTAGACATATGACTTTTATTTTTTTTATTTTTTTTTTACATTTATTTAAATATATGTTTTAACGTACTATTTAACATACTATGTCAAATTTTCGTAATTGCATATCTTCAAATTCTGATAAAGGATTGTGCAACTGTGCATAACCTGTGAACCCTGCTTAATTTTTCCACTCTAGAGCTCACATGAATTATTCAGTACTGGGCATTGTGTTGGTGGACATGATGTTTATTTTCCTGTGCATGCCTGTGCCACTCATCTTTATGTTGTTCCAGACAAGACAAATAAGGAGTCAGTGAGGGCAATCCAGAAGAGCATCTTCACAGTGTGTCTTGATGCTCCAATGCCACGCGTGTCAGATGAGATGTACCATAACAAGGTGGCCGCTCAAATGCTCCATGGTGGAGGCAGTCGCTGGAACAGTGGGAACCGCTGGTTTGACAAAACACTGCAGGTTACTTTCATGCATGTATAGCTGTACATGTATGATCATTAAATCCAGTGTATGTTCAGAGGGTAGCTTGGAATCCAGATATATAGAGATATTCTTCTGTACCCAGACTCTTTTCTGTATCCCACAGTTCATTGTTGGAGAGGACGGATCGTGTGGACTCACCTATGAACATGCTCCGGCTGAGGGACCTCCCATTGTTTTCCTGGTGGACCATGTTGTTGACTATATGTAAGGATATGACATTTAATTCTTAATGAGATTTTTTTAAAGGAATTTTCAGCAAAAAAAATGTACACTAAATTTCAAAGTTTGGGATTGGTAAGATTTTTTAATGTTTTTATCTCTTATGCTCACCAAGGTTGAATTTATTTGATTAAAAATACATACAGTAAATCAGTAAATCAATTTTCTATTTTAATATAATTTAAAATGTAATTTATTGCAAAGCTGATTTTTTCAGCATCATTACTCCAGTCTTCAGTGTCACATGATCCTTCAGAAATTATTCAGATATGCTGATTTGCTGCTCAAAAAACATTTCTTAATATTATCAATGTTGAAAACAGTTGTGTTGATTAATATGTCTGTTTAAACACTGATACATTTCTTAAGAATTCTTTGATAATAGAAAGTTCAAAAGAGCAGCATTTATTTGAAACAGACATTTTTGGTAACATTTCAAATGTCTTTACTGTAAATTTTTGATCAATTTAATTTTTTATTTCAAAAATGTTTGGTAAACTGTAGTATAAATTATTAATTAACAGGTATGCACCAATACTCATAAGCCGATGATTTTTTTTTTTAAAGATTAATTTTAGGGGAGTGTTATACGATGTTAATCTAAATCTAAATAATCTAAATGCCCAATCAAATACCAAATATCAACCACCACCAATAAATAAAAAAAACAATATGATACCGATATAATGTGCTTCCCTAAACACAAGGCCCTGAATAGGTTGTTACTTGAATATTTCATGAATATTGAAATAAGTGAATAGTTGTTACTTTTTTGTGAAAGTATTTTTGTTCAGAAAGGTTGTAGATAATATGTCATGCAACCAGGGCCGTTTTAACCATTGGGCTAGGCGGGGCTGAAGCCCCGGGGCCCGAGCAAGGAGGGGGCCCGTGATTGGCTGTGGAGTAGATTGACTGGAGCACCGATCGCCAAAGCCACCACGCCCCCCACTTATTAGCGCTGTTATTTAGTTGAGCTTTTCCGTAAATTCCATGCATTACCATATATATATCATTATTGTGATGGGGGCCCTGCAGTAAGTCATAGCTCCGGGGCCCAGTGCGGTCTTAATGCCGCCCTGCATGCAACATGTTTGTAACAGGAAAAGAACTGAGATGGTACGAACTCCCATGATTCCACTTCCTATGCCACAAAAACTTCGATTCAACATCCCACCAGAAATCAAGAAGGACATTGAGAAAGCCAAACAAAACATGAACATGTGAGCACATTTCAAACTGTTATAATGGTGTTTAAATCAATATTGACCTGTAATAAATGAATATTACATCATGTACAGGTACTTCTGTAATCCTCTTAATATCGTCTGTCTAGAATGGCGCATGAACTGGACGTTCGAGTGCTCAACTTCACACACTATGGAAGAAAATTCCCAAAGTCTCATAAAATGAGTCCCGACGCATTCATCCAAATGGCTCTGCAGTTGGCATACTATAGGTGAGTTTGACATCCTAGTGCAGAATAAAGCACTAAAACCTCTGCTCATCTCTACCTCTCAAATCCCTAGTCCTTCAGTTAGCATTTTTTCACATCCCAATGGCTTCTCTCACTTCATTTCCTAGGTTGCATGCATGCCACTTATACCACATTTCTTCTTGTCGACATCTTTAAAGGTCAAGTATGTAATTTTTTTTATGTTAAAAATAAATACTCTCTTCTGATTTAGTTTCATGTGAAGAGTGATGTAAGTAAACCATTTGTAGGTTGAGTTCCTCAAAGAATATAAACACTGTAGTTCTGATTGTTTGAGTGACCCAACAAGTCAACCTCTGGCTCAATCTGGGGCAGCACTACCTGTATAGGTACTTGCATAACCAAAGAGGGTTTGGAAACAATATTTTTTGCAATTCTGTTTAGTACCACTACTGGCGTATAAATTACATACTTGGCCTTTAAAACATGCAATTCATTCAGAAAGTGAAGAATTGCATAAACTGACCAAAGGTGAAACGAATTGCAGCTTTTACTAAAATTACTAATGTGATTACCAACTTCAATGAGTTTTTTTTTATGTTTTCACAAAGTAGAAAAGTTGTATGTGGATAAAAAAAATACCTGTAATTAGGAAACTAAACTAAATTAAAGTGTGGCAAGGTATGGGTCTTTTTTTGTGTCATTGTGCTCTTCAGTACTCAAAGAATGCTAACTGACAAGAAATGCAAGGTGTTTATGTACTTACATGTTCCTATAACCATTCCGGTCCGCTGATGATTCATCTTGTTCCTGTGTTAGGATGTATCAGACCTGCTGTCCGACCTACGAAAGCGCCTCCTTACGCATGTTTAGACTGGGCAGAACTGAAGCCGTTCGATCCACCACCACAGAATCGCTCCAGTTCACAAAAGCCATGGATGATCCATCAAAACATGTACAAGTTTACATTTTAGTAGCATTCTCAGTTGTTGAGTATTTTTACACGTTATTTATATCTGTACTGTTTCAATTTCACATTTGCAGAATAGTGAGAAAGCAGCACTGCTCGAAAAGGCCATCAAAGTCCACAGAGAGCACACACACATGGTGAGCATCATGTGATCTTAAAATATTTACACGTTTGCATGTTACCAAGAAATCTCAATGAATATGATAAACATTAAGTTTTTATTTTATTGCATTGCATTGATGCTATTACAATTCTGCCGCTCTTTTTGCCTCCTCTTGATCTCAGTTTTTGTTTCTTTTGTAATCAGGCCATCCATGGGCAGGGTATAGAGAGGCACATGCTGGGTCTAAAGATGATGGCCATTGAGGATCTGACATCTTTACCTGAGATCTTCATGGACACGTCATTCGCTGTAGCTGCACATTTTAATCTCTACACAAGTCAGGTTTGTAAACCCAGATCTTGAAGGCTGATCCAGGCCACATCCACACCACATCTTAAACACAGTATTCACTTCTCTTCTGGGCACATTATAACAATCTATATACAGAACTTAGTTATTTATGGAAATTTGCCTGAATTTATTCACGCAAATGCCACTTTATGGTGAAATTTATTCTACTTTTTAAAAAAATATCTTGTTCATCATTTTCAATATAATCAAAGTAAGTGGGAACAGGATTTGTCAAGTTCAAAAATGACAAAAAGCATCATAAAGTAACCATTTACATTTACTTACATTAATTGTCAAGGTTACTTTCTCCAAAAACAGTTGCAATTTAGTTTTACAAGACCACCATTTAACAAGCTTGTTTTGTATTTTTGCTACTGTACCTTTAAGACGTCTATATGTAAATGACCTCTGTTATTATTAGCTAACCTCTTTGCATGTGAAATGAGTTGCAGTGCTTTCTATAATTTTTGTGGGTTTGCATAGTTGGCCTGCTTTACATTGTGTCAGGTTCACAAAACAAATGCTCAAAACGGTTTAGGTTGAAGTGATGAGATAAGGGACCTTGCTACAAATAGACTTAAGCTGCTCGTAACATGAGATCCTTCAGAAAGGTTATTGTGTACTAGCATAAGTGCTAACCCTCAGCCCATAATAGCACAATGCTTGCTAGAATCCCAAAATATAGATATTGTTTATTGTTTATTTGGATCCCCATTAGCTTCCACAAAGTGGTTGCTAGTCTTCCTGGGGTCCACAAATCAATCTAAGACAAACAGTCTTACAAATAAATACAATATATAGTAATAGTACCTTCTTCTGGTGTATCTACTCTGCTCCCTTTGTAGATACTGAATAGGCATTGATAATGAGGTTTGTCCTGGTGGTTATGGTTTTGTTAGAGTCTACATAGTATTTCAGACATGGTACTTTTGTTTTGTCTAATTTAAAGCCCATCTGGAGACTTTTGAGTAACAGTGTCCCACTGTCATGTAATACCTTGCAAGTTATTCTGCCTAGTTGATGCCCTTTGATATAGTTCTACAGATACATAAATCTGACAAGTTCGCAGTAAATGCTTCCCAGGTGACATCTCTGTGATATGCTGCAACAGCTTTCTGCTCCAGTTAAAAAAAAGGATTGTTTTGGAACTGTGTTCACAACTGTATTGGTATTAGGGGTGTTGCAATACACCAATGATATTTATGATAACATTTAAGACATAAAAAATTGATATCAGTAAAATCTGTAAAATAATCCATGTGACATCAGGGGTTCAACCGTAATTATACAAAGCTACAAGAATACTTTTTGTGCGCAAAAGAAAAAAAAAAACGAATTTATTCAACAATTCGTCTCCTCCGCATCACCCTGTAAACAACGTATGCTGTTCTGTGTCAGCTGCGCCACGCGGATACGCTGTTTCCATTCAGATCAAATCACAACAACCCACGCGGATCTGTTTCCTACGTTGTTGTGATTTGATCTGAATGGAAACAGCGTATCCGCGTGGCGCAGCTGACACAGAACAGCATACGTTGTTTTACGTCCAGTGGATATTCTCCAAAATGGCACCAGGGTGACGCGGAGGAGACGAATTGTTGAATAAAGTCATTATTTTTTTTTCAATTGAGCACAAAAAGTATTCTCGTAGCTTTGTATAATTACGGTTGAACCCCTGATGTCACATGGATTATTTTACAGATCTCCTTGCTAAGTTTCTGGACTTGGGAACATTTCAGTTGTATTGCTGTCAATGGGAGGGTCAGACAGCTCTCAGATTCCATCAAAAATATCTTAATTTGTGTTCCGAAGATGAACGAAGGTCTTACGGGTTTGAAACGACATGAGGGTGAGTAATTAATGACAGAATTTTCATCTTTGGGTGAACTAACTCTTTAAGGCTGGTTCCCACATGAAGTTCCAAACATAAGTTTGGGAGGAGCCTAATCATTCTCTCCTGTCAATCATCATTACGAGCCTATATAAGCAGCAGTCATAGTGCCCTTCCAGAAACAATTTTTTCAGCATCCCTCTGCTTCCCCATTTCCTTCTTAGGCCCTGTCCAAAATCGCACCCTAAACCTAATAAGTCCACACTTCCGTGACGTAATGCCACTTTGTCTGTTGGGTAGAAGTGTGCATCGAGGGCGCATAGTGGCTGCAAAGGGGGCGCTCATGAGCACCCTTCAGAAAGCTAAAATGACGAATTGGACACCCTATGGTCTAATGAACTTGATGGACACTAGCATGCAGCAGCCATTGTAAGTCTGCAAGACCGTAAGTGTGCATGAATATGCTATTTGGAACAGGGCCTAAATTTCTCTCATTCTTCCTTCACATAGTGCCATTATAGAGGGGTTTCAGCTTTGCGTTCAAGACAAGACAAGTTTGTTTACCATTATCTATCAAGGCTAAATAGGCAGGCAAACTCGTGAACCATCATAAAATGGAAAAAAAGAAGATATGTGTATGATATGAAGATATGTACATATGTAAATATGCACACTTCCATGCTATGTAGTAGGTGAAAAACAGTATGTGAAAAGAGTAGCATGTCTGAATTCATTAAAAAGTAGGTGAAAATACCTGGATGAATTAAGGTGTAGTCACATTTACCATTGTTTAGCAAATGTGTGTTTGAAATCCAGTCATTTCAATAGGAAACCATGGAATCAGGAATTATGCTGAGGGCAAAATATTTCTGCACACAGATTTCGCAGTAGGTTCAAGTCGCTGCTTTGATTTGTCTATTGACAATGAACCTTTATTAGCTGCGAAATTTTGCCGCAGTGTGGTGCCTTTACAACTTCTGGTGCGATTCTGAAGTACACATTCATTTGACACTTCACTATCCCATGAGGCCATGGGAGAGGATTTATGATGCAACTGATGCTGGTACTGTAGTTCACAGGACAATGACAAGATGATGAATGTAATACATCCGGATTACATTCATTTTACACACATTCATACAGTAATATATCAGTCACAAAGTAATTGCTTATTCAAAAGAAGTAGTATGCAATTTTAGACACAGCCAGTGTAGCTACTATGCTGCACAAAATCATGTCAGAGGAGATGACAGACGACCTGCAGACTAAAAAAGTTAGCTAGCCAGTTTTTTTGGATTCCAAAACAAAATAAATGTAATGATGAATTTGCTAATGTTCTTTGGGTGTACTGTCCCTTTACGAGTTTGAATGCTGTGCAAATCTATCTGCTGTTGTTATGAAATGCAGAATTTTCATGTAAGCTGTGGTTGTATTTTTTTGTTTTTCAGGTTGGATCAAAGACAGACTGCGTTATGTGTTTCGGACCCATGGTTCCTGATGGTTACGGTATCTGCTACAACCCCATGGATGACCATATCAACTTTGCTGTTACTGCCTTCAACAGCTGCGAGGAAACAAACGCCATGAAACTGTCACAGTTCCTAGAAGACTCGCTTCTGGACATGAAGACTCTTCTGGAGCAGGTGTCTAAGACCCAGTGAGTGACGACACTTCATTATTGGCAAAAGAAACTCTCACAGAAGCCCTGAAACACTTTCAGACTGGAGGCTTTCAGTGGCATTAACCTGACATATTGGTAATATTGGTTCAGATTGGTATTCCATATCTTAAAGGTGACGTGTGTGATTCTTTTCATTATGCAGAGACTATAAGCAACTAAGAACACCATTCTTAGGTTGATTCCCTTAAAGTGTAAACATTGTGACTATGTGGTGCTTTAAAACTTTGATTTGTTTGTTTGAGCAACCTGACAAGCCTGACACAGTGACAGTGACCCAGTAGTGCGAGTTTGAGGCTTAACTATCTCCAACCGCTGGACATCAGAAAACCAGTTTGAAAACAGTCATTATTTTCGTAGGGTATTTAGTGATTATGGACTAAGAGGCTGCTACAAACATAAACAAGGATAGCCAGAAACACAAACTCATTCTGTTTTTATTTCAGTTTCAACTGTAAAAATGGTAAGTGTGAGAAGGCTCTTGATATTATTCAGTGTCATATCATGTTAAACTGAAGTATACTTTACTAGTTTTTACACGTATGCTAGGGTATGTGTACAATGACACGATTTTTGGCTTCAGTGCACTAATTACTTTGCCACTAGGTGGCAACACTGGCCTGGGCCTGTTTCACATTCAGAAAAGAAACTGGGGAGACGGAACAAAAACAAGAATCATGAAAACAAACTGCTGAAGATGGCAAAAACAATATGCACACTTATTAACAAGCACTTGTGTGCGGGAATTAAAACACTCAAAACTTAAGGTTTAAGTTTGTAAAAAGACGTTTTTATCATTCATAACTTTTGGAGAGAAAAAGCGCAGATACTAGACAAGGATGAATGTTTCTAGTACGCAAGTGCACATGTTTCTAGTGACGAGCGACTGTGTTCTGGCATGCGATCACTTTGAAAGTCTGTCCGTTCGCTAACATACACGTAAAAAAATTGAAGTATTCTTATAAAACTTAGTTTCACAAATGGTAAGTAGGACTGTTAAACTCAGAGCCAAATGGACTTTCTTAATCAGTAAAATATCAGAAAAATATTATGATTGTTATTTGTTTTGTGCTGATAGATTAGCAGTAGACTTGACACACATTATTGTCAGTTTACATAGATTAACTCGTTGTCATTACAATAAATATACAAAGCACATATATAAAACAGTTAAAAACTGTTTTTAAGTGATATGAAAAAAATGATGTGATTATATGATATATTTGATATACAGTTAATAAATCCTATCTTCAGTTGTGCTAAACTGGCTAAATTTGAACTAGGATGATTTTTAAATGCTCCACGGCTCTTCATGGACTAGAAGCTTTCTTACAGACTACACTGGTTGCTCTTCAGAAGGGTTAATGTATGAATACTCGGCCCTGAACATGCCCTTGATTTGCTGGTACTCCCCATGGAATTCCACTTCAGCCCTGCTTCCCGAGGAGCTCCACAGGAAGAGCCGAATCCCTCTGAAGATGGTCGTCTTTAAAGCATCCACATCACGAATCTGGGTAAGCAAAAGAAAACACTAGAGAATCACAGCATAAATATGTGTTTATGTTCAACCCATGGGGCATCATTTACAGCCACAATGTGTACCAAACGTAGTGCTTGCACGACTGCTTATTTTTACTAGACGCTAGCTGAATGTCTATCTAAATTAATGTAATGTAAATGACTCAAAAAACACAGCCTGCCATCAGTGGCCTTTTATTGATTAATCTCAAAACGTTTGCTGTTATTATGTTTTGTGAATGTTCAAATGTTAGTTCAAACCCTTATAGACAGAGGTTACAGATAGCATGATTACATCTCTTCCTCTAGCAGACAAAATGATTATGCTCATACACTACCATTCAAAAGTTTTGGATTTTTTAAAGATTTTTTATTTTATTTTTTTTTTTTAAAGAAGCCTCCGATTCTCACCACCAAGGCAATATTGTGAAATAGTATTACATTTTAAAATAACTGTTTGGTATTTCAATACATTTTAAAATGTAAAAGTGCCTTCAGTGTCAAATGACCCTTCAGAAATCACTCTAATATGCTGATTTGGTGCTCAAGACACATTTCTTACTGAAAACAGTTGTGCTTCTGCATATTTTTGTGGAAAATAATATATATTTTTTTAGTACTTCTTACTTCTTAAAAAAATCTTACTGACCTGAAACTTTTAAGCGATAGGGTTTATTTTTTATAAAGGATGGATGAACAGTGACTTACCAGTATGTATGTGGAGTTTGTATCGGTGTTGTTGAGCACAGAAAGCGCTCTGATCTGAATCCTGAAAGCAGGCGGAGCGTCGATGAACACTCGACAGCTCTGAGTGTTAGAGGCAGCGGCTGCGCTCTTGATCGGATTCTCAATGAGTCCAGACGGAGAGAACAGCTGAACGTCACACTCTTAAAGAGGAAGATACATGCTGTGTTACATCCTTTAAGATTCTTTCACTTTGCCTAATTGCACCCTATAATGAAAATTCTGTCGTTTTTTTTGGCTCACCTTATCTTTTGTCAAACCTATATGACTTTCTTTGTTCTGTTGAACAACTTTTGTTGTATGTAAAAGCAATTTGGAGATTCTGCCAGATACACTACCAGTCAAAATGTTTTTTTGTTTTTTTTTAGTTTTGTGCTCACCAAGGTTACATTTATTTGATCAAAAATACAGTAAAAACATGAAATATTATTATTAATTTAGAAATAAGTTATATGTTTTATAATGTAATTTATTTCTGATCAAAGCTGAATTTTCAGCAGCATTACTCGTCTTCAGTGTCACATGATCCTTCAGAAATCATTCTAATATGCTGATTTGCTGCTCAAGAAATTCTGATCATTATTATGTTATGTTATGCTGAAAACAGTTATTCTTACATTTTAACTGTCAATTGTAATCAATTTAATGAGTCCTTGCTGAATAAAGGTATTACTTTAAAAAAACAATTGTACTATCCTCATACTTTTGAACGGTACTATATCTCCTTGTGTTACACAACAAAGAAAGTCAGGTTTACTAAATGATTACTAAATTAAATAATGACAGAATTTTAGTTGAATTTTCCCTTTACAATAAAATCTATATTACATTTGATGAATATATGTACATATTTAGTCAAGTATGCATTCAAATATATTAAGCGTAATAATGCCATGTTTGTAATAACACACCTCCATGGTGGCTTTTTTTGTTTTTTACACTCTGATAAAATAGCAGCACTCCATTCCCGGGGGTCAGGCGGCTCTGGCGCACCAGTAGGACATTTGATCGTGATTTCAGCGTTTTACCGGTCATCCTCTCACAGAGACGCATCAGGAGGAGTCTGTCATACAGGGCGATGTTCTCCTCTGAAGATTACACACAGTACACTATACTAGTACTCTCATCAGATTCCTGTCTGTAAGAAAAGTAGCCCTGTACTTACTCTGCCGGCAGTTAAGAGTGCTGGATATGATTTTGATCTGAATAACCTCATCAAGAGGTCGACCAATAGCAAAAATACACCTCGTCTGAGAGACGTTGCGCAGATCAATAGTTCCTGAGTCTTGAAGCAGAAGTCGCCCACAGAAACCTGAAACCAGAGTAGATGACTTACTCCTCACTGCTTTTTTCCATTTATCCCTCCATTCATCCAACTGTCTATTCAAATAACAATCCAAAAGGTACTATAAATAATATAAATTATAACTATTATAATATATGAGGATATATAAATATATAGGGAGCCAAACAGGAAATAATTATATGAAATATGTGACCCTGGACCACAAAACCAGTCATAAAGGTCAATTTTTCGAAATTGAGATTTATACAACATCTGAAAGCTGAATAAATAAGCTTTCCATTGATGTATGGTTTGTTAGGATAGGACAATATTTGGCCGAGATACAACTATTTGAAAATCTGGAATCTGAGGGTGCAAAAAAAATCAAAATAAAGAAAATCACCTTTAAAGTTATCCAAATGAAGTCCTTAGCAATGCATATTGCTAATCAAAAATTACGTTTTAATATATTTACGGTAGGAAACTTACTAAATATCTTCATGGAACATGATCTTTACTTAATATCCTAATGATTTTTGGCATAAAAGAAAAATCAATAATTTTGACCCATACAATGTATTTTTGGCTATTGCTACAAATATACCCCAGCGACTTAAGACTGATTTTGTGCTCCAGGGTCACATATGAATATTAAGTTGCAATTCTGTATATATAAAACTAAATCTGAATATAAAGTAATATTTAAATCATAAATATGTAAATAATAATAATAATAATAATAATAGTTTATCTCTATATTAAGCCAATTTACAAAGTAAACTTAAAAAGAAAAATGATCTATCATTATGTTGACATTCTTTAAAATTTAACACCAATATTCCCAATTTAAGGAATTTAATTTCAAGATTTAAAAAAACAACAAAATTGTAGAATATGCCCCCTTTCGAAACTGAAAAGGTTATCAAAGCTGTCAGTTTTATATGGAGCTAGCAGACACTTGCCACCTAAATATTAAGTTGCAATTCTGTATATATAAAACTAAATCTGAATATAAAGTAATATTTAAATCATAAATATGTAAATGTAAATCATGAATATATAGTTATAATCCCTGATAATATATTCTAATTATACGTTTTGTTAATGTATTTATATTTTGAGTTCTAACTAAT